GCATCTAACTTTTCTAAGTGATTTTTAACTTGTTCTTTTTTTATTTTATCTTCTAAAACTACCCCCTTCCCACTAGCATTCACTGTGTTAGGCATTCCTTCATCAGACTTCTCAGTGAAGACCGAAACAAAGAAGTCATTAAGCATCTCTGCCATATTTAAGTTTCCTGTTACTGTTTCTCCCTCCTCACTGACCAGTGGGCTTACCTTGTCCTTGGCTTTCCTCTTGCTTCTAACGTATTTATAAAAAGTCTTCTTGTTTCCCTTTATTCCTGTAGCTAGTTTGAGTTCATTTTGTGCCTTTGCCTTTCTAATCTTGCCCCTGCATTCCTGTGTTGTTTGCCTATATTCATTCTTTGTAATTTGTCCTAGTTTCCATTTTTTTATAGGACTCTTTTTTTGTTTTAGATCATGCAAGATCTCGTGGTTAAGCCCAGACAGTCTTTTGCCATATTTTCTATTTTTCCTACGCAACGGAATAGCTTGCTTTTGGGCCCTTAACAACGTCCCTTTGAAAAACTGCTGAATCTCCTCAGCTGTTTTTCCCCTCAGTCTTGATTCCCATGTGACCTTACCTATCAGCTCTCTGAGCTTACCAAAATCTGCCTTCCTGAAATCCATTGTCTCTATTTTGCTGTTCTCCCTTCTACCTTTCCTTAGAATTGTGAACGCTATGATTTCATGATCACTTTCATCCAAGCTGCCTTCCACTTTCAAATTCTCAACAGCTGTGTCTAGACTGGCCAGTTTTTCTGGAAAATCAGCCGCTTTTCCGGAAAAACTTGCCAGCTGTCTACAATGGCCGCTTGAATTTCCGCAAAAGCACTGACTTCCTACTGTAAGAAATCAGTACTTCTTGCGGAAATACTATTCTGCTCCCGTTCAGGCAAAAGTGCCTTTTGCGCAAAGCTTTTGCACAAAAGAGCCAGTGTAGACAGCTCAGATTTGTTTTCCGCAAAAAAGCCCCGATCACGAAAATGGCGATCAGGGCTTTTTTGCGGAAAAGCGCGTCTAGATTGGCACGGACGCTTTTCCACAAAAAGTGCTTTTGCGGAAGAGCATCCTGCCAATCTAGACGCTCTGTTCCGGAAATGCTTTTAACAGAAAACTTTTCTGTTACAAGCATTTCCGGAAAATCATGCCAATCTAGACGCAGCCCAGGAGCAGCACAGAGGTGGCCCAGCCTCAGGAGCGTCCATGCCAATCTAGATGCTCTGTTCTGAAAATGCTTTTAATGGAAAACTTTTCCATTAAAAACATTTCTGGAAAATCATGCCAATCTAGACGCAGCCAACCAGTTCCTCCCTATTTGTTAGGATCAAATCTAGAACAGCTTCCCCCTGGTAGCTTTTTCAAACTTCTGAAATAAAACGTTGTCACCAATGCAGTCCAAGAACTTATTGGATAGTCTGTGCCCCGCTGTGTTATTTTCCCTCCCATATATCTGGATAACTGAAGTCCCCTATCATCACCAAATCTTGGGCTTTGGATGATTTTGTTAGTTGTTTAAAAAAAGCCACTTCCACCTGGGTTTGTGGCATGTAGTAGACTTCTAGCATGACATCACTCGTTTTTTACCCCTTTTAGCCTAACCCGGAGACTTTCAACACTTCCATCTCCTATGTTCATCTCCACCTCAGTCCAAGTGTGTACATTTTTAATATATAAAGCAACACCTCCTCCCTTTGATTCCTGTCTTTCCTTCCTGAGCAAGCTATACCCTTCCATCCCAACATTCTAATCATGTGTATTATCCCACCAAGTTTCTGTGATGCCAACAATGTCATAGTTGTATTTATTTATTAGCACTTGCAGTTCTTCCTGCTTATTACCTATACTTCTCGTATTTGTATGCTGGCATCTAAGGGTACGTCTATACTAGCCCCCTAGTTCAAACTAGAGAGGCTATTGAGGGTGACCAAAATTGCAAATGAAGCACGGGATTTAAATATCCCGTGCTTCATTAGCATGTTCCTGGCCAGTCGCCATTTTGGAAACTTACTATCCTGGAATAACTGCCTGTGTCTACACATGGAATGAGGTTTAACTGTTAATTCGAACAAAGGGGTTTATCTCGGAATCACGCTTCTCTGCCTCCGTCCTCTCTCTTGAACTCTCCTGTTTGCAGCTCCCTGTCTGCCTCGCTCCCCTGGTCGCTCTGCAGCAAACAGGGCTGGGTTCAATGTCTAGGGGTTTCTTTACAACAATACAACACAGAAATTACTTGTGGTTCCACAAAGTAATCTGGGAAAATTACGCACCACAACTGGCTGACTCTAAGAGGCAATATTTCCACGCTTATGAGCACAAAGACTAATTGCATAATAGAAAGTTTTAATTAAAAGAGGGAACTCACCTTAATTAGGGAAAACACAGCAAGCAGAAAACAGTGAGCATAACACTCACCACAGATTATGTCTTTTGCCTCGAGTTCATGAGTTCAATAATCAAAAATTCCTTTAAGCTCCTCCTTTCTTCTTCCTCACCACACCTCACTTATGGTGGTTGTCCTTGGTCAGTGAAGGCTGAGAGTTCAGAAGTGCATCTTTATAAGTTCACCTCCCACCCAGCGCAGGGGGTAGCAGGAACTTTGCTTGCTCTTTCGTGCCACCCTACCCATCTCTCCAAGGGCCATCTGAAGAGTCACTTGCAGCTTCACTTGCTTCCCTGTCAGCTCTTCTGCTGCATACTGTTATTGTTGGCTGCTACTTGCTTCTTTACTGTTACATCTGTGGGTCAGACTCTTCAGGGGTTAACCAACTCTTTATGATTTTCAGCTGTCAATGGTTGTCAGCTCTTAGTGGGGGAAGCTGACTGGGAAGAAATGTATTTTCAGCTCTAGTTGAAGTAGCGATGAACATTACTACTCTACAGGCAGTCCCCGACTTACGCGGATCCAACTTACGTAGGATCCGCACTTACGAACGGGGCTTTTCTCACCCCGGAGCTCACGGGCGGCGGGTCGCCACCCGTGTCCTCTGGGGCGAGAAAAGCTTCTCCCAGTCTCCCTGGTCTGCTGGGGGGGTCCAGCAAAGCCGCTGGACCCTCCCAGCAGACCAGGGACACCCGAGCAAAGCCGCCGCCTGGGC